CATATCAAATGGGACAGCACTGCTGTTTACATCACACTCAACATGGGACAGGAGGCTGCAGAACTGAACATAACCTGAGATTTACATCCAAAAATGTGAATTTGAATTGCATTTGTCTACTGGCTCTTTGGCAGAGTGAATCTCTGTAGTTCTCTAAGTTTCAGCTTCTGAACCTATAAAATAGTGATAGCAATGCATATTTCCTAGGGCTTCTAGAAGACTGAGCTAACCTCTGCAGTCTGGCTTGCATGATCTAACCTGTACCATGCATTCATTTTCTCTAATCAAACAGGAAGTTGGGTATTAGCGTTAAGGATTACTTTTTCCTGAGCCAGGCATCATGACGTACGCCTGTATGCCAGGAGGATGAGACAGGAGGATCACATGAGTTCAATGCCAGTCTCAGCAACATAGCAAGACCCTAAGTAACTCAGTGTGACCCTGTCTCTAAATAAAATATAAAAAAGGGCTGGGGATGCGGCTCAGTGGTTAAGCATCCCTGGGTTCAATCTTTGGTATCAAAAAAAAAAAAGAATTACTTTGTCCTGAAACCACCCTTTCTGTCAGTTGGAGCATCTCCCCTCAGCCCTGGCTATCCTGTGTTTGGGAGTCTTGGGTTTCCTAGCTGTTACTTCCTGTTTTATGGTTGAATCTTGGCTCCCACAGTGACCAGTATACTGAGGATTGTCATGGGTAGGAGGAGCACAGAATCAAAATAGACTACTCCCTCAGCTCCTTCCTGTTACCTTGTCTCTGAAACACTAACAGCAGGAACACATCCACCTGTCTCCTCATAGAGAGAGCCTAATACCTAATGCTCCCTTGGTGGGGAGACTTGGGGAGTGAAGCATCCCCAGAACAAGTTAAGAGCAATTATTCCCAGAGTAAATAAGACTCAGAAGTCTGAAATCATGCAATGCCTCCAGATTTTATCCACGCACAGTGGGATGCTCTGATTTGCTATTCCTCCTCATGTTCTGTGCCCGTCCAAGTGTGGGGTAATTCAATTACATCCACCGCTTTCATTAGTACATAGTTACAAAAGTTTATTCAAATATTACATAAGGAACCAATCCACCGTCAAGGAACGCATGTGGCAAAATATACCTTTATAACTGTTACGAGAAATAAAGGCCATGATTCTCAGATGATTAAAAAAAAAAGAAAAAAAAATCACTGGCAAGAGACCACTTAGATAAAACTAAAGAAACTCTTCACTTGCTTAATTAAGAAGAAATTATTGAAAGTTGCTATGTGCTAGGTACTGTGCCAGGGTCTAGCTATAGAAGTGACCTTGCATAATTATAAGCGCACAAGGAGTGACAGAAAGTAAATACATTTAAAGCTATAAGAGATTATAGGAATAATACTGTCATGTGTGCAGGGTGTAAAGAGAGTCGATAATGTCATTTGCGTAGAAGGCCAGGAAGCTTTGTGCAGAGGGATGAGCTTTACTTGAGGGTTGTTCAACAGGCAGATGGTGTGGGAGGGGCATTTGGGCTCAAAGAAGAGTGACAGCCAAGATCCAGCACTGAGGATCTGCCTGGCTGGCTTGCAGCCTGCCCTCATTCTGTAGGGACAAAGAAGTTCATCACAGTGTGGAGGGCAGAGAACACAGAAAGCAGGGTAGGTAGGGAGCAAGAATGTCACAGAGATGAGTTGTGGCCTAGGAGTGGTCCCCGAAGCATTCTGAACTATGTTTAGAAAGATCATCCTAACAGCTGGCATGAAAGGTGGGTCTGAAAGTACCAGACTTTGGCAGGGAAGCCATTAAGATCAAATGCAATGCTACAGAGGAACAGATTGGAGGGAACAAGAATGTTTAAGGAGGTGGACTATGATGACATCACCACTCATCTACTCCTCAAAGCCAGAAATCTCTCTCTTTAATTTAGCTCCAGCTAAACAGCTTCTCTCCATTGCTATGCCCACCACCCTGGTTCAGGTTACTTTCATTTCTCTACAATTTCCCCAATTTTATTTTTGCCACTACTCTGCACTTCTCATGTTGGTTTTCTAATAAGAGGGATTTTTTGAAAATTAATTATCACCTTTACTTAAAACACTTTAGAAATTCTTCACTGTGTGTAGGTCCAAACAGGCACATTGATATGGCTTCAAATGTTCATGATGAGCTCTTCCACCTGTGCTTCTGAAGCCCTGATCACCTGTCCACTCCCATCTTGGCCACCCTGTGCTAGCTGGCTCCCGGAGCACACACCCCTACACCTTCACTCAGAGGCTTCCCCCCCTCTGGGGTATTCTGCAGGCTCTTCCCTTCACCTAGTTAACTAGAGCTATCCAACAGCTCTCAGACTGGACACCATTTCCTGCAGGAAGCTCTCCTAATCTGACCCCCATATCTGTGTTGGTGACTTTCCTCTGTCCAGTGTCTCCTTCCCAATCAAGACATGCTGCAAGTGACTTGGAAACTGCCTGGTCTTTGGTGCTTCACCCACAGCCCACCTGTACCTGTCCTTTCCATCTCTAGGCAGTAGACTCTACCATGTTAGAACCATGAGCAAACTGCTCCCCAAGGAATCCCCACCACCCAGCTCACCGCTAGGGTGCAGTATAAAGAGCAAGGGGTGTGTGTGTGTGTGTGTGTGTGTGTGTGTGTGTGTGTGTGTTGTATGTGATACATTTTAAAAAAAAAAATCTCAACTATAAACCTGCCTGGCAAAGAGAGTGAATGGTGAGACTACTGTGATGCAGAGTAAATGTTTATCAAATGAAGACATAGATAACAAATGAATCCCTGCATTCATACAGGGGATGTACCTTGTCAAAAAAAAAAAAAAAGTAAATTTTATCAAAATGCAAACTTAAAAAAAAATAAACCCCACTTTATGTTTCAGAAGAAACCAATCCACTCTTAGATCAAAATGTAATGCACTGTCAGGGATCACTACTTTCACTATTTATAGTACTAGTACTTTATCTTTGGGGTGTTTATCTTCATAGTCACAAGAAAACTCCCTTGCAGAAAGCCTCTGATTTTATACAATCCACTAATGACATCCATTCATGGAAACAGCTTTAGTTTTCTATCCAGTAGTTAATGCCTCAAAGTCAGATAAGACACAGAGAACATCAGGAAAGAATCACTTTTGAGAAAAAATAGACATCCTAGGTATAGGAATGTCTAACTAATAAAGCAAAGTACATATGAATATGAACAAAAAGGGTCACACTTTTCCTTACCCATAGGTTTTTCTTTTAAGTGTGTATTGGGTACAAAGTTCCTTTCTGGTTGCTATGGTATTAATTTAACTTATAACAGAAAATTCATTAAACTACTTTTCATGAGACATATGCTTCTTATGCAATTAACAATACATTCAGCATCAATAAACTCTAATTTTAGAGACATTCATCTGCAAACATTAATCAGTTGATAGTAAATTCAATTTCTACTTGACTTCTGTTTTTCACGTTCAATTCTCCAAGGATATATACCACGTAGTACTCAAAAATATTAATTTACTTACTATGAAAGCAGATTGAATTCCTAGAAAATCTTTGTGCAATAAATATATACGCATATAAGTCAAATCAAAGTTGTATGAGAAAACAAATTTCTTAGGGAGGACTTTGTTATTGACCAAACACTTTCAAAGAACCAAACCTTTCAGAGAAATGACCATAATATCCTCTATATCATCGAATTAAAAACAATATTTCTGAATAGGTCAAAGCTTTCCAAATTACATACTTAGAAAAATCACACAAATTTAAAATATATTACCTATAAAGAATATGGACACTTGGCATGACTTTATTCAAGGGGGTCACTACGAGGGGGCATAATTTTTCTCTATTCAGATTGCCCAACATAGTACAGATCTGACCAGTAGCTCCCTACCAGGAATGGTGACAATGAAAGAAATATGCCCCCATATTTCCAAATATCCAGTTGAGAGCTGGGAAGTCTTCCTTGTTTGCAGAAGAAACTTTAGCTAGACAAAAGGAACTTCCTGAATTGAAATCACTAGAAAAAGACAGTGCCATCTCTTGAGCCCAAGTCTCTGGGAAGTCAGTGTCCTGAGACCAGCAGAGAATGTCAAAGTAAGGGGCAAGCTCTGATCTGACTTTCAGTTCAGGTTTTGGCTTCCTGCCTTAGGTAACTTGTTCATCACATATTTTCTAAGTTAATATCTACTCATTATACTGATTACTTGCCAACTCCCTTGTCCTTTTTGTTCATGTCTCTCCCTGATCTCAATCTTGGATCTATCCCATCCCAACTGCACCTGGGCTCTTCTCTCTGTAGACAAGAAAGGGTGGGGGGGCATCATGAATCCAGAGCTTCCATTGTGCAACCCTGAGGGACAAGCTTTCTATGTCACTGTCACCAAACACTCCTATTCACTCCACAGGGCATTGTCCAATCAGCAGGTAATATCTTCCATATCACAGAGAAAACAGAGGCCTCCACTTCCTTCTGTTTGTCCACCAATTATTCTAACTTAGTAGCTGGAATTTGACTAGTCAACTATGAAATGTGAGAGAGGCATTTCTCTTACTTCCCTATCTCTCCCATTTTTCTCTTTTGCTTGGTTTATTTTATTGCATCTCCAGCATTAGACTGAACAGAAGCCACGTGCCAGAGACAATTCTGTGCTTTTGCCAACTTTAAGAGTAAGTCTAAAGGAGTCTCACTAAATTAGAGGTCGGTTGTGTACGTTTTGGGTAAATAGTTCATTTCTGTACCTTGTTATTTAAGAGTTTTGTCATAATCTTGTATCAGAGTATATAAAATGTTTCCCAGTACCTATAGTCTTTTTTTAAACATTACCATGTGGAAAATTTTAAAGTCAAAAATTCCTATTTCAATCCCCCTGATCCATTTCATCAAGTTTTAATTTTGTAGTTTACCAATAGAAGAAAAACAAAACTCTAGAGCCACTCTTCTAAAGGTAACCCCCTCTGTAGTTGTAGGTTTGAAATTAAAATTCAGTAGTAAACTTACAGTAACTAAAAGGGTCTTGCATGCTTACCCGGATGTATGCATCCTGATGGTGCTTAGCAAAGTAGAGCATATTGTCCAAAGCCAACATTCCAGGAGGAGTCTGAGTAAAGTCCATGGCAGGGTTGACATGGTTCTGTGATGAAAATAAAATGTTACATGAGATTTTATTATTATCATTATTGTTATTATTATTATTATTTGCTTTCCATGAATTTATTTTTTAAATTTTTTATTACTACATTACTATTTTAACATTATTTTTAATTCTAAAGTTTTATAGAAGTTAATACTTATAATTTAAATACAAATGTTTTCATAGGCTAAGAGCATGATATACATGTAAATGTTATTATGTTTTATTAGTGCATTAAAATTATACATAATAGTGGGATTCATTGTGACACATTCATATATAACATAATTTACTCCAATTCATTTCCCAGTGTTTCCCCTTTTCTGCTCTGCATTCCCCCCACCTTGTCTCCCTTCTTGTACTCTCTGTATTTCTTTTATTTGTTTACATGTACATTTTTTCATCATTGCATTATAATTAAATATAAAAGTGGGCTTCCTTGTGCATATCTATAATGCATGTTAGCAGACTTCACTGACCACCAGTGAACTGGTTTCCCTCCTACGACGGAAGTGCCAGAAGACAAGCTCTAAATAATCAAATATGATGGTGTTTTCTATCTCCCTGTGAGCCTTCTAGGACTGGAGAAGGTACTTCTTCCAGCTCTACAGGTTCAGCAAAACCAGCTTTTATACCCAGAGTTAGGAGACCTCGCTGCAGCTCAAAATGTAAGCTTATTCATAGACATATAACATTGTGAGAAAAAGAAAAATAACACAAAAATTACATTTCTGGTAGCTTCACTGAAGTGGAGAAAGATCTGGATAAAGTCATGTGTCTGCCACTTATCTCAGAAGCTGACTTCAGGAAGCATTACCTATGAGCACCTTAACTTCCTCACCCTCATGTGTGAGATTAAGTATGGCCACACGTGGCCACAGGCTTTGGGAGGCCTCCAGGGTTACAAAGTCCTCAGGCCTCTAAATTGTATAGATACTGAATACAATTCAGATGTCCACAAGGTCCCGACATCCACCTGCTCCCAGAGAGCATGTCTGGTATTATGGTCACCACAGATGGCACGATGACATAACAGTTACAAATATGCCTAACTGGGGAGAAGGCCTGACTGACCCAAATTCTCCATATACTTGAAATGATTGAATAAATCCACAAGGACTCTTATTTAGACACCAAACTACTCTCCACCATTAATCACTGAAAACAATCACTAAGAACTGTCTTGAAAATGCAGATCTAAATGTTATTAGTACATTATAGTTATACATAATAGTGGGGTTCCTTTTGACATAATCGTACATACATGAATGTAATGTGCTCCATTTCAGTCCCACGTGCCTCTTTCTCTGTCCTCCTGCCTCCTTCTATTCTCCCTCCTCTGTTCTACTACTGGTCTTTATTCTATTTATTTATTTTTTAATTTTAGATATGCCTAAAGGTGAAATTCACTGTGGTATATTCGTATATGTAGATAGCATAACTTTTTCCAATTTGATTCCTCAGTTCTTCCCTTTTTCCATCCCTCTTCTATCCCCCCTCAGTCCCCTTCATATCTTCCATTGATCTAACCTCTATTTTTGTAGGATCACAAAAATATCTCCAACCCCTGCTTTTTTCCTTTATTTTGTTCTAGTTTCTACATAGGAGAGAAAACATTTGACCTTTGACTTTCTGAGTCTGGCTTATTTCACTTAGCACAATGTTCTCCAGTTCCATCCATTTACCCAGCAAATGCCATAATTTCAATCTAATTTTTTTGGGGGGGGGCTAAGAAAAACTTCACTCTCTTTTGTGTGTGTGTGTGTGTGTGTGTATGTATGTATGTATGTACACACACACTTATATATTTATACCAGCACAATTCATAGTAGCCAGTTTATGGAACCAATAGATGAATGGATTAAGAAAATGTAAGATATATGCATACACACACAAAAAAAATTCCTGTGTGTGTCTATACATATATATATACACACACACATACATGTACACACATATATATACACACACACGTATATGTATAGGCGCTATAAATATTGATGTGCCTGTATCTCTATAGTATGCTGATTTTAGTTTTCTGGATAAATACCAAGGAGAGGTTTACTGGGTCATGGTGATTCTATTCCCAGTCTTTTTTTATGATTCTTTTTTTTTTTTTTTTTTAGTTGTAGATAGGACACAATATCTTTATTTATTTATTTATATGTGGTGCTGAGGATTGAACCCAGTACCTCACGCATGCGAGGCAAGTGCTCCACCACTGAACTACAACCCCAGCCCATTGACCCTGATGATTTGTGTGTGTTTATTTTGTACCCTTCAACTTCACTGAATTCATTTAGTAATGTGAAGAAGTTTGTTTGTTTGTTTGTGGGGTCCTCAGGATTTCCTACAAAAGATCATGTCATCTGCAATCAGGGAAAATTTGGTTTCCATTTTCCAATTTGTCTAACAGTCCTTCCTTCTCTTGCCTGATTGCTCACACACTGAATAGAAATTGTGAAAATGGGCATCTTATTCTACCTCAAAAATGATGACTGTGTGAGATAAAACATTTGTTACTTAGCTACATTTAACCATTCCACAATGTATATGTATATTTCAAAGCATTATGTTTTACATGATAAAATCATACCTTAACTGTTGATATAAAAAATTGAAACAATTTAAGTGCCTAAAGATTATTAAAAAAAAAAAAACTACTTTCATCTCATGACTCAAATAACTTGCATGAAATGGCATATTTACATTTGGCCCTGAAAACTTTTTAATAAACAGTTTGAATCTCTGTTTTGCTAGGGCAATTTGTGTTAAGGGTAATTTTTTCTAATTCTGGTACAGGAAGGCTTTTTCATTCCCTTGTTCAAGGTTCAATCCACCTACACTTTTCTACATTATTCAAGAGTACATCAGTTTAGTTTTTGCCGAGCTGCTTTGAAATTTTGTTTATGAGCTAATGAACGACATCTAAAATCATGAAAGAGTGGGGCTGCCTACTGGCCAGAGTTCCAGTTTCAAAACATCCCTATTCATCATGTCTGTTTAAGTAGGTTATGTCACTGCATTGATTTGAATATTTTATTTTAACATTTTATCCTGATTCATTTGTTAAAATGTTGGTAAGTTTTTAAAATACCAAAGTACTACTGCCAATAAGAAAGATAGAGATCACAAAATACATATAACTGTAACAAAAATGAAAATCATTTTTTATGTCAAATGCAGTGCAGTTCAGCCTCAATTTGACATTCATTGAAGAGGGTCTAACTTATATTCAAGAGTAGAAAAAAAATTCAAAGTACTAGAAATAAATGACCAGAGATTTAGTCAAAAGAATAACTTATATTTAAAGATGTTATATTTTTAGCTATTTAGCAAAGCATGGTGGAACCTTCCCCATTACACACAAATTTGTAAATTGATTACTTTGCTACATTAGATTTTCATGAACATAAGTAATAACATAAAAAGGTTGCTATTTGTTGAATATTATCTGGGAATGAGCAATATCATGTACTTACATATATTAAGTCTCAAAACACCCCTATTTAGTAGGTACTATTGTTATTCCCGTTGTGCTGATCAGGAAACTGTGGCTCAGATAACTCAGAAGCCTGCCAAGAACCTCAAAACGTGGCTTTGGTTGAGCAGGCAATGTCCTCTTTGGACAGTGCATCTCAGCAATCTTTTGTTCCCAACCTTTTCCTTCCTGCCAGTTTAGAAGCTGGATGCCTTTGTTTTGATATGCTTAGCATTTAGATTTAACATGGATGGAGAAAATTTTATTTCACAAAAATGTAGACGAAGCAATGTTAGTTTCCATACAGCATGAGCCAACAAAGACAAGTGAGCCAGATAGAAAAAGAACAAAAAAATAACATTTATTTCAGACCTATTTCTATTATTGGTCTATGAGTCTATTTCAAAACTAACCCCGAAGAATAAATCAAGTCAAATAATTAATTTCCCTTAATCTGACTTCAACAAGCCTCTAAAACTGTATGTTAGTGAAGATGACCAGAGAGATTGGTGCCCACAGCTCCACAATCGTCCATCACTCTTGCTTGAATTCTGCACCCAGGACCCCCTGGAAGCCTCCTTCTATCTATCCAACCCTTCCTGAGGCATATACTGTGGGTATAAAATAGGAAACTGTTGTTTTCAAAAGATCCTTAGAGTTAAAAAATTATATACACTTGATTATTTATATACATGGAGAAATGTTCTAGGATCCTCTATGGGTACCAACATCTTGAGATTCCCTATATAAAATGACATAGTATTTTCATATAATCTATATACATCCTCAGTGTACTTTAAATCACCTCTAATGTTATTTATAGTACCTAATATGATGTAAATGCTATGTAGCTATTTGTTAATCTATACTGTTTGAGGAATCCTTAATAAGCAAAAAGTCTGCACATGTTCAGTACAGTTACAATTTTTAAAAACATTATCTATCCACAATTGGTTCAATCTGTGGATGAGGAATTCACAGATATGGAGGGTGAACTGTAACTGATTTTTGGAGTTGTTTTAAAGAACCATACAGTAGTTGGCAAATCACCCTAGTAAAGTAATACCTATTATGTGCAGCTATTGTGCAAGGTGTCTAGCATATGCTAGCCCTTTATCCTCACAAAACCCTCACTGGGTCAATGCTATCATGATCTTCTTTGACAAGAAAGAACCCAAGGGCCTGAGAGTTTGAGTAACTAGTCCAAAGTTTCAGAACCAGTATGCATCCAACCCAGAAGGTGAACTCAGAGCACAGGTATTGGAGAAGAACTGTACAGTATCAGGTTGTTGACCAACCTGACCTTGCTTCAGATTTCACAAAGATGTCCAGTGCAGGTCCCCAGTTGTTGGGGTCCTCCTCAATCAACATCATTCCCTCAGACAGAAAGGGACTGCAATTCATCCCACTTAATAAAAGCTATAATTTCTTCACCCTTTCCAGACATTATAACAGACCTAACTCTCTTGTGTTCATTGGACCATGTCCTAATTGTCCCCAACAAATAGGCTCTTACTAA